TGACAGCCCCAGTATACTAACTTTTTAATAGACTCTAAACAGCAAAGAAAGTAGTTGCCAGGTTAATTATGGCTGAAGGGCCCCTGATAAACTTCCAGGGAATAAGGGCTACAGTGGAAAGATTTTTGGGCAAGATTATCAAGTAGGCCTCCTATTATACTCGATCAATTGGTGACTAAGGGTATCTGTGCACCTTCACCAGTGCTAGCTCATTCATTCATTCATTCATTCATTCATTCAAAACCAATTTATTGAGGTTCATTTGACATCTGCGAAACTATCACCACCATCAATACCATCAACATATCCATTACAGCCAGAGTTTCCTGCCATGCTCTTTTTTTTATTTTATTTTTTTTGTGATAACACTTAAAATAAGAGCTACCCTCTTAGGGAATTTTTAAGTATATAATATGGTGTTATTAAATATTTCTGTACAGTAGATCTCTAGGATTTAATCATTTCTGGCTCATCTATTTTTAATTTGTTAATTTAAAAGGTGAAAATGGTACTTTATTGGTAATTTAATTTGCATTATTGTGAGTCTGAACAGCCTTTTAAATGTTTATTTGCTGTTTGTAATTCTTTTTTTTCATCGAGTGCCTACTATATTCTAGGCGCTATTTTAGGTGCCGGGGGTGTAACGGTTAATAAGACAAACATGTAGAGTTTACATTTTAGTGTAAGAAACATGATAAAAAAACAAAAATAATTTTTTTAAAGGTAAAAACACCATTTTGTGCTATAAAAAATACAAAACAAAAACAATAAGAAAGTGTCCTGGCTGGTGTGGCTCAGTGGATTGAGCACTGACCTGAGACCTGAAAGGTCGCTGGTTCAATTCCCAGTCAGGGCACATGCCTGGGTTGCGGGACAGGTCCCCAGTTGGGGGCATGTGTGAGGCAACCCAATTGATGTTTCTCTTGCTCACTGATATTTCTGTTCCTCTCTTTCTCCCTCTTTTTCCCCCTCCCTGAAAAATAAATAAATACAATCTTTTTAAAAAAGTAAGAAAGCAAAGCAAAGGGACTGAGGAAAGGGGTCCATTATTTTAGATAGAGTAGTCAAAGAGAGGCTTTATGAAGAGGTGACATTTGAATAGAGACTGAATAGTACATGTGCCATGTGGATTCTTGGTGGAGAATCCAAGCATAGGAGCAAGCAAGCTCGAAGCTCCTGAAGCAGGAACATGTCTGTGTGCTTGAGGAATAGTAAGCAGGCCAGTGTGGCTAGAAGCCAATGAACAACAGGGAAGAGTGATGGGAGCAAATGGGGCTGGAGAGCTAGCAGGAGGCTGAGTCATTACAGCCTGCCTTGCAGGCCACTGAAAAGGCTTTGGATTTTATCCCAAATGTTCTGGGAAGTCATTGAAGGGCTTGAGCAGTGGAGTATTATGATCTGACTTTCATTAATGGGGCTGCTGTGTGGAAAGGCGGAGGAGAGGAAATACAGGGAGATGAGTTAGGAGACTTAAGGTATAGTAAGATGAGCAACGATGTGGTGACTTGGTATTAGCAGTATGTACAGAGAAGAGCGACTTGTGTCAGGACGTATTTTGAAGAGGAGATGCTGACAGACTTGATGTGTGATGTGAGAGAAAAAGAGGAGTCAAGGACAATTCTAAGACTTGATCAACTGAGGGTTCTGCTATTTACTGTGATGGAGAAACACTTCAGGAGTAAGAGGTTTGTGGAGGCAGAATCAAGAGTTTTGGTTTTTTTTCTTAAAAAAAAACCCCCCACTAAATATGAGATGCATATAGGACATCCAAGAGGAGTAACTGAGTAAGTAGTAGGATATATGAGTCTAGAGTTTAAGGGAAGCGGTCAAAGTGAGATATACACAAAAGCCTTCAGTCGTAAGTGGCACTGAAAGCCATGGACCTGGGGTGAGATCCTTGAAGGCAGGAGTGCAGAGAAAAGAAGACTAGAGGGTGTTTCAGCCTCTTCAGGCCGGATCTGACAAAGCATGTAATGGGGTGGGACGGCCGCTGAGACGGGATCTTGTGTTTCTCACTGAACTGCAAAATCCCGTCTACACTAATGATACTATATTATGTCTGTTACTTGCAATACAAACATTTCCCCAATTTTCTGTTTGTGTTTGATTCAGTTTATTTTACCTCTGACATATCTACTTAGAAATAGTTGTACAGTAAAATCCCCATGCCATTGCCTTTGTGGCTTCTTCCATTACTTTTAAGGTTAAAAAGCCTTGTAACAACTAGAGGTTACATAGACATTTGTATTTTATTTGTGTGTTTGCTAGTTTGAGTGTACTTTGGTTCATCTGGAATTTATTTTAGTATGTGGTCAGGTTATAAGTTGATATACCTTTTAAAAGATTTATCAACTTTCCCAGCACCATTTATTAACTCTTCCCTTGCTCACTGGTCTGTGACGTCTTCTTCACACAGTACATTTCATTTAGTTCAATTTCAATTTTAAACCTTGAAATTACAAAAAAGATGATGGAAAACCTTCCTTTCGATTGTCAAAATAATATGCTTTATATACGGATTTCAATGTGCTTACAAGGAAATACATAAAACAAAACCAACATTTTTCGGAAGAGAAATTCAGGGACAAAAAGCTAAATAAAAGAAAGATATAACATGAAGGGGAGAACAGGAAGGGGACAGTCCATTTCCTTTCTTGAAAAAAAAAGATGTTGAAAAATGTAAATAGAGAGTACAGCTATACGTACAACAAGTGTTTGTTAAGCACCTTGCCAATGCCAGGCATCGCCCTTGGTGCCATGAAGTAGTAAGAAAGACACGGGCTTAGGTTTTAGTGCGGAAGTTAGGGAGACAGGTGATATGTACACAAATGAAGAATATAACCAATTAGTAATGAATGCTATGAGGAAAACAAGATTGGGCAAAGGGGCAGAGAGAGAGAGAGTAGGGGAGGAGAACACAACACAACGGGGAGGTTCAGAGTGGCTCTCCAGACCTGACTGTTGGGGTTGGGCCCTGAGTCATGAAGAGGCCAAGGAGGATGACGGGAGGGATGCCGCAGCAAGAGGGGAGAGTTAAGTGCACAGGTCCCAAGCAAAGTGCAGCAGGGGAGTGAAGAAAAGGGGAGAGCAGAAGGAGATAAGGTCGCGGAGAGCAGGGCGGAAGAAGACTGGATCGGTAGTAACAGGAAGCCTTTGAGGATGGGGGTTAAGTGGGAGGTGTAATGTAATCTGCTGTAAATTGAGAGTTCTTTGGCTGTTGTGTGAAACCTAATCTGGGGCAGGGAGAGATGAAAGGGAAGAGAGGAAGGGACTCCAGTTGGGAAGATTTTGTAAAAGGTAGAAGAGTTATACGATCTGAAGAGAAACCAGAGTATGTAGGAAGGGACTCCAGTTGGGAAGATTTTGTAAAAGGTAGAAGAGTTATACGATCTGAAGAGAAACCAGAGTATTTAGCTAGAAGGATTTTGTATAAAGAAAGTACCTAAAATATCTTGTTCTTTTAAATAAAACAAAATGAAATACTTGACATAACAGGGAGTAAATTCAAGTGACTAGACCGTAAGATCCCTGAAGGCAGGGATTTTTGTTCATTGTTCATTGCGCATCTCCAATGCCTAGCACAATGGGAGTCTGGCACTCATCAAAAATGTGTTAAATAAAGTCAACAAAGTGACTAGAGGGAATAATAAATAGCCTTTTATTTGTGAAACAAGAATCAGATGAAATGGACGTCAGAAAAGAGCTTCAGAGAAGCCTTATGGGCTATAAAACTGGTCTCATAATTACACTGTACCTCAAAATATGAGGCAGATTTCAATCAAAGATGGGTAATTTAAAAATACCACTACACTAAAACAGTTCAAAATACAAGTTTACTGTTAATACTTAACAATTCTAAACACTGTATTAATATGTTTATTTGATTTTTGGCACTGGGTGGGAGAAGGACAACATCACAAAAGTTGGGGTTTGGGAAAGTTAGCTTAAAATCGTAAGTACATGTATTAGAAATCTTACTGCAAAGTTTTTGTCTTTTTCAATCCAAGTTAAATATTCTCTATCCTCGTTAGTTGTGGTTTTTAAAAATAACACTCTTGTCTCTCTTTGTTTTTAATAGAAAAAAAAAATACAAGTTTAAATTTAGCCACCTTCTTACAACCATCTCATCCCTTAGACTCTGAGTTTCTGTGAGGCCGGAATTCTGTCGTCCTTGTGCTCCCCCAGCAAGAGCAGCACACGTTGCGTATGTGTGTGCCATAAATGTATATTCGAGTTGTTGAACTCCTACTGAAAAAAAGCTAGCGCAAAGGCAAAATGCTTAAGGAAGAAAATGCGGACAACTTGGCAGCATTTATCATTGCTAACATTTTAGGCTCCTAGAGTAAACTTTGAAATTACATTCTAATTTGAGATGGTTCTGGTTTGACAAGTTAACTCTTGAGACATCTGAGTAGAGTGTTATGAAAGAACGAAACTGTTCATCAACCCTTTATGCCAATGTTAATTTCTTTTAAAAGTAGGATTTTAATGTTTTTTAATTCCTACAGTGACCCTTAAAATTTCTATGTATGCAATCACAAATGCACACACAAGATGCATTTATAAGCTTATTGTGTAGTTCTAAAGACGGTTGGGAAAATCAATTTTAATTTTGTTACTGAAATAATTTAAAAATATATTATACAACTGCCTCTTTTCAATCAACAGCAAGGATCTAGAAAGAGATTACACAAGTAGGCACACTTTATTTAGGTTTATTAGTGTTAGAAACAAAGTTGCCTGACTGCAAATTGTAAAGGCACTCATATTTATTTAATTTTTCATCTCACCACTGACATCTGTGTATATCATTTTCTTATGCCTTTAAAAAAACTTGGATAAAAAACTTGAATAAGTTATTTAACAAAGATTCATAACATTCATTAACCTTTTATATGCTAAAAACTAGAAAATTATTTTCAGCAAATATACAGTATTTCCTGATGATCTCTGAGAATATTGTTGTGACTTACAGTTTTCATCAGAGAAAGGAGACTTACCGGCTTTTATCCATGAGGTCTGCTCCCCGTGCTTTGTAATAATCTAAATTGGGATGGAATTGATAAGTCACTGGTCTTGGATTTTTCTATAAAAAAAGAATAAATTGAAATGTATAAAGCTATTTATATTATACATTAACATATAAAAGGACAAAATGATTGGTTTTATATTCTTTCAGAAAAAATACACAAAATAAAGAAGTTTAATAATTAGTGTGCTTGGGTTTTGCTTTTATTGTTGAAGTTTTGTAACTGATCTCAGTCCTGACTAAAGACTGAAATTGTTTTAATAGCTTTTTCTTTTTCTTTTACTTGTCTTATAGTGCATATAGATTTAGTCCTATCATTAGATTTATTTTTGATGATTTTGGTCACTTTCAATATAACTTTTCAAAATACAATAAGATAAAATCACAACAGAATTGAAAAGTTATGAGATTTAATGGGAGCACCATCTATGCTAATGGACAGGAGATACAAAGTGTCAAGAGCGCTGCATTTTGGAGGAAGAGTAAGAGAAATGTTGTTTCCCATACAAAGAATGCTAAACATGTCCACTAGATGGCACACCGAGTCTTCTCCTAAAGTGAATAAATTATTTCAAGAATTCAGCAACTCTTTTCAAGTTAGCAATTTCTATGTCATCTATTCTTATATATGAGTTTAATAAGCGCCCAAGTAGTGAAAATATTAGCAGGGTACCATCACAATACAAAAGTAAATTGACCAAAAAGCACATTTTCATAAAAGGAGTAATACATGGTCCTTTCTGATATTTAATATTATTTATAAACACTGCAGAAATGTCCTTGAATTATAGATCAGGTATGTTTAAATATGTTGCTATTAGTGTAATGTGTCTATTTACTTAAATGTATTAAGTTCCTCATAGGGAAAAAAAGTAATCTAGTTTATAAAAATGTAACATGTTAATAAAGCATCATTTAAATGTTAAAGTATATCTACTTTTATATAAAAATTCAAAAAACTTATAAATAAGTGTGTTCCGACGTTCACCCGAGCACAAGATTATTACTCTGAACCAGAACATGCCCTGTCCTTTAAGAGATCCTTTTAGACACAGAAAGGCTGCATTTTATCTTAACAGAAAATTACCAATATGTTTTGATAACAATCCTTGGAGACACAGTCCTAAGGCACGGATACACTTGCATGCAGGCGGGGGTATATAATTGCTAAGGTTAAATAGTTTGAAATTCATCAAGCTAACAAGCTGCATCTTAATGGCCATGATGGACCTTTTCTTTTCCTGCTGAAAAGAGGATATTTACACAGCTCAACCCTTTCATATCTCTTCCAAGTCAGCCCTAATCATCTAACAAAAATGACAATCCCTTGATTTAGCTCCAGCTACTACTCCACTGGTTTGGTATTCAACACACAGTTCTAAAATAATCAAATCTGAATTGCCTTGATGAAGATAACTGATGCTTCCATGACTACCATACTATTAAGTCTAACAGAGCAACTTTTCTCTCTCGAGGAATTAGATAGGTTTCCTTGTGGTAGCTGATGACAACCTGGACTCAGTATAGTGGGAAAATAAAATAGAGGTTAAAGCCACTAGCGGACAGTCAGTGCATTCATGGTTTATTTTAAAAATTAACTTTCACAGGATCATCTCTCATGACTAATTTTGTTCTTTATTCTCAGTACCTGGAAATACATTTTGTGTTTTGTTAATATAAAAAAAGACTTTTCTTCTCTGACTTCCACCAAACTAATAAAGGACTATGTTACTTTTTCTAGAAAACAATGAAAGAGGGGGCTGCATGGAGCAATTTCTTGAAACATCTTTATAAAGAAATGACAAGCAATTCAAGACCAAAGTGCTGATCTATCTAAGCACTTAAAGCCATTATTAGGAATAATGATCTAACTTGAATATGTGAATGAGGCTCAAGTATTGCTTTCACTGAGGCCTATTTAAATTCCTGAGAGACTTACTAGTATCAACGGAAGAGGCACTTTAAAGTACCACTATACTGGGACTAAAAAAAAAAAAAAAAAAAAAGAATCAAAAGAAAATGTTGAAAAACAGCATTTGAAATGTAAGAAAATAAAATCAGAGATTCTAGTTAAAAGTTATTCAATAGGGTTTTCTGTCTGAGATGATGACGCTATTACTAAAACATAAGGTAAGTAGACATAGAAGGTCTACGCTGGTATTGTCCAATAGAAATACAAGGTGGGTCATGAATGCAAGCTTCATATGTAATTTAAGTTTTTCCTAGCAACCACATTAGAAAAGCAAAAAAGAAACTAGTGAAATTAAATGTAATAGCGCATTTATTTAATTCAGAATAGCCAAAATATTGTCATTTTAACATGTAATCAATATAAAAATTATTGAGCTGATATTTCACACTCTTTCCTTTGTACAAAAATCTTTGAAATCCAGTATATATTTTAAATGACTAGCATATTTCATTTGGGACTAGTTGCACTTTGAGTGCTCAATTGTACATGTGGCTTGTGGCTTGTAATGGACAGAACAGAACTAAATATCTGGCATAAATGTTAATTAATATGTGGCTGGCTATAAAAATCAATATATCGATTTTCATCTATATTTTATATGAATAAAAAGGGTACAAATACTTTTATACACTAACATTCAGAACTTACAGTCCTTCAATATACCATAATTCTTCTATTTTAATTAAATTAGTTTAATCTCTTCTAAATAAGGTAAAAAGTGAACAAAATTTGGGACAATATCTTCTCTATATACCAAAATAACAATGGCATCCTTAGGAGAATGAGATTAAATGAGAAGAATTTTAACGTTATGCAACTGAAATATTTTAAAAGTAAAGAGAACCTTGTTTTTCTTACTTTAAAGAATATTTTCCAAATAAAATTTTAATTTTTTTTATTCTCACCCGAGGACATGCTTTTTGATTTTAGAGGGAGAGGGAAAGGGAGGAAGGGAGAGATTGGTTGCCTTGCATACACTCCCCATCAGGAAATGAACCTGCAATTTAGGCATGTACCCTGACCAGGAATCAAACCTGTGACTCTCCAACCAACTGAACCATACCAGCCAGGATCACAAAAATTACTTAATTAATTAAGTTTCGTAAAAATATAACAGTTCTGACTTTTAATTTTTAAAGATTTGGAATTCCCTCTAAAATATAGGAACCACTAGAATTTTACATATGTGAAGCTTTGTATGTAAGAAAGACCAGACTGAGTAACAGGTGTAATTTCTCATTGTGCAGAACATGTGATATCTATAACTTTAACATTATGCCTTTGCTTAGATTGGAACAATCGGTGCTTAATTTAAACCCATTTTCAAGTCGTGATTTCAACTATTACAAGCTTTTCCAACCCAATGTACATTAAAAAAAAGCTTTTGTTTTGGTGAATTTTTCTTTGATAGAAAGATAGCAAAATGGTAATTATATCTTAACTCACACTGGCCTGTGTACAGAGGAATACCAATTATGTCCCATGACCTGGGAAGTCTATGTTAACCAAACGTGAAGATGCTGAAATCACACATCCAGTTTACCTTGCCTTTCCTAGACCAACCCTGATGGACTTGAAATAAGTCTACAAGATTGCAGCTGGTTAACTTCCCAAGTACCATTCAGTTCTCTGTTAACAAGCTGGTGGAGCCCTTAAAGCTTCGTATTCAGCATTTTATTTTATGGTAATATAAGAAGAATGCTGAAATTGCCACCCATAGCAAAGACAGGTTGGTTCTGGGGAAGCATCTTAAAGGTCTGTGGACAAAATGACTTACAGAAGCAGAATAGACAGTGGTAGAAACAAGTGTCCTAGGGGGAGCTATATGGAAAAATAAAACCAAACCAAACCTATACTGTACTTCTGAATTCCCAAAATTCTTTTGTTAATTTGGCATGGTCATAAAATCAATTTACAAATAGTACTTAAATGGCAACAATCAATATGAGGAATAAAACTAATGGATATCTACCTAATCTTGCTGTTGTAGTTCATGTTCTTCACTTCTAAGTCTATATTATGATAGTAAGCTTGCTCCTTACTATAGTTTGAGGTAACACATACACACTGCCCCTTACAGAATATGACTTTTGATGGTGGACTAGTCCTCTCTGCTCTATCCTACTGGAAGTCTGTAGATCAGCATATAACCCTCTTTCCCCTGCTATCCTATCCCCATGGTTTTACTTCAGTATTTTAAGTTCAAACTCAGTTTGTTGCAGTAGTGTACAAATATTTAAATGCTCATTCACACCAGCTACAACTAACTACAAAATACTATAAGTACAATTACTTGCAAGCTGGTGTGTGACAATTTTCCTTGTTCTTAGCTTGGTGAAATCAAACTTATCCGACAATGGTCATTACAAACAGTACTTTCTAGACTGACCCCCTAACTCCTAACCCTCACTCATAGATGATTACCTCCTTTTGAATCATAACATGGAAACTCCAGAAGAAAAGAATCTAAAGTACTCGGCCTGTTTTGAACAGCGCAGTGCCTTTCAGAGGGCTGGCTATTTATAAACACAGAACTGAAAAGAGGCACAGAAAAGCAGTATCAGTGAGCCCTGTTCTAATTTATGAATGTGCCAGAAAGAATTAAAGAAGAGTTCAAGTTATATGTTAAAAACAAAGAGACTAGGGTAAACATAACTTGCTCTGCGCTCTGTGCTTTAAAGGCCCAGGGTGCCCTGTGGGGAAGGCAGGGGACCAGGAGTCTGTGGGCTTCCAGCTCAGATCCCTGCTCCACCCACTACCAGCTGATAAGCCGCTGTGAGGAGTCAGTTCCACTCCCAGCTTTAGTTTCTTCTTATGCAGAACTGCAGTGAGGATTAAATGAGACAATGAATGTTAAGCGAAGAGCACAGTGCAGGGCACTTGATAAAAATGCCTTGAGATGGAAGCTAAGATTCCCTTCTGATGTCACTGAGCACTGACAAACAGACCTTCCATTTGAGAGCAGATTTTACAGTTTAATAACTTAAAATCCATGATAACAAATAGTAAGAGAAAGTGATGTTTCATACTTTCAGTGATCATATTTAAATTTAGGGTAGATTTCTTCTAAATGATACATTTTTAA